ATCCCTCATGTAATTAAAACAACACTCTTGAAAATTTCAACGTTTCGCCATAAATTCATGGCCTCTTCAGGAAAACTTTATTAAAAAAAAAATTATGAACAATTAAAAACTTTTTTATAAACAAATCGACATGATCATAACACTACAGTACACATCTAACAATAATAATAAAATCATTCGTACTCACAACTATAGAAAACCTAAGTCATAGTAATGTTAATTAATAAAATATTTTTACTATTCAGAAACAAACCGAAAAGTCAGAGATATAAAATGAACTGTGAATTTCAAAGTGGTAAAACTGTCTATATACTAGAAATGTCAATATAGTAAGCAATTAAACAACCAATCAGAGTCAAGCACGAAACGGAGATGCCCGAACAATTCGAATCACACAAATAAAATTCAATGTCAAGAGCGCATCTCTTTTACAACATTTACAATCCGACAGTATTGTTTATTGAGAAGCTTCACATCTTCTTTTCTGTTAATCGTGTTATCACTAATATTAATATTAATCATCTCAGATGTAATTCTTTTTTTGTAATTTGATTCTCTATCCAAAATAACTGTGTTTTCCCAATCAAATTCATGGTTAGGAAAATTCTCTATGTGAGAAGATACTGGTAACTTATTTTTTCCTATTGAATCTTTGTGTTCTTTAATTCTCTTTTTTAAACTACGTTTTGTTTCCCCTACATAATTCGCAGGGCATGATTTACAATTGAATTTGTAAACGACTCCAGTTTCATCCCACTTTGACAATTTGTCCTTGCCTAGTTTAATTATATTATTGAGTTTTTTGCTTAAAATAGGAACACATGTGATTTTAAATTTCTTAAAGATAGAATTACAATTATAATAAAAATTCTCACATAACGGCAGTGGTAGTATAGTGTCTTGATTATATTGTTTATTATTGTGAACTGATTCAATAATACCTTTGATTTGTTTGTATCTATGTTGTCTTAGTCTACGATTGATATTTGAGTTTATGAATTTAATCAGATAATTATTTTGTAATAATGTTTTTTTTATTTGTTCAATATTAGCATCATGAAAGGTCGGATCTGATAAACGTACTGCTCTATCAACTAAATTAGAAATAATATTTTTCTTCTGTTGAATAGTGTGATTAGAATTGTAATTCAATAGTCTGCCTGCCGAAAGTGGTTTCTGATAATAATAATTCTGGTTTCTGATTGTACTGTAGTGTTATGATCATGTCGATTTGTTTATAAAAAAGTTTTTAATTGTTCATAATTTTTTTTTTAATAAAGTTTTCCTGAAGAGGCCATGAATTTATGGCGAAACGTTGAAATTTTCAAGAGTGTTGTTTTAATTACATGAGGGATTTTCCTTAACCATTGTTTATATATGAGATTAGTAATATTTCGAAGGAAAATAAAATAGATTATAATTATAGTATTTTAATTACTCTATTTGCATCGAAAGGTGTAGTTACGGTAGCATTCAAATCATATCTCGATATTGTAATAATAAGCTGATATTTTAACATTTACTACAATTTTTCGATAACTTTCAGCAAATCCAAGCAGCATACTCAGGAATATAGTAACATCGAAATAATCTTCGTCAATTGTAAGTGATACTTCTTTGTCATTAGTCGGATTGAGTGGTAACCAGTTCTTCATAAGACTTTTCAAGCCAATATTTTTTACTTTATCTATTTCAACAGCATTTATCTTGTATCGTATCTCCTCCAACAAATGACATATAGCATTATTAACTAACTTAGTTTTAACTGCTACATTTCCATTTTCCTAAGTTAATCACTTCTGTTCGAGAGCTCGTACAGATCAGACGTTCATCGAAGCGCTCTCCAAAATCGAATCTAAGCTACTTATTGAAAGTAATACATATAAAATCTCACAAAATAAATCTACACTCCTCGCAAAAATTAAGGGAACAAAAAAATTTGTCAAATTTTTGGCTAATTTTCAACAGGCGGTATTTCAGTAAGAAATGGTCTACAGGAAATAAAAAAATAAAGCTGTTGAAGCTAGAAGACTCTAGTTTTTAGTTTTTTTGGTTAAAAATTTTTTGGAGCTCCGTATTTCATGCAATCCTTATATAAAGCGCAAAAAAAATTTTAACACAACGCTTGATGCATTCAGTAGCCCCCTACAATGGAGGATCAGTAATGGTTTGGGCAGGAGTTTCACGAGGATCTCGAACTCCTTTAGTTATTGTTCGAGATAACCTCAATGCCAGGCGTTATATCGACCAGATTCTGAGACCTCATGTATTACCAATATGGAGAAACGCGAGAAGATTCATTCTTATGCAGGATAACGCAAGGCCTCATACGGCGAACATCACTCGTCGATTCTTCGAGAGAAACGGCATTCAGTTGTTAAGGCATCCTGCAATGAGTCCTGATCTCAATCCAATTGAGCATGTCTGGGACATTTTGGGCCGCCGATTGCGTCAGAGTTACCCAAACCTCCGAAATTTAGCTGAATTAGGGATTGCTTTGATAAGAGTTTGGCGTCAGATTCCTCAGCGGATGATCTGCAATTGCATTTCCAATATGCGGCAGCGATTGCAAGCTGTGATTCAGAGTAGAGACGGAAATACTCGATATTAACACACACACACACACACACACACTTTGGAAAGTGAGTTTGGAGTCGTAAAATACTGTGGAGCTGACGAGCCACGGGGTCTCTTCTTTCCAAGAATCATTCGCACACGTGCGTAAGCACAAAAGAAGCATAAATCCGACCGAGCAACCTCCACGTGGTATGCTTTGGATAACGCTAATGCCAGCGTTAAATCGGTCATCAATCTCTAGAGAACAATATTTTATAGTCAGTGGAAAAAATTTTTTTTTTATTTTTGAAAAATGTTTTTTTGATTTTTGAAAAAAAATGTTTTTTTTTCAATTTTTTTCAAATAATCGTAAACAGACACAAAATTGTGTAAACAGACGAAAAATAGTTGAAGTAAGTAACAAATTTAAAGTACTGGAAAACAATGAAATAAGCAACAAAAATAATGAGCCAGCAACACCAACAGCCGTGAAACCGCCAAAATCACCGCCTATATTCGTAAGTGGAGTTTTAAACATCAGTTCTTTAATTGATCTTCTTAATAATGTCACGAAAAATGAATACAGACTAAAAGTTCTGAATAATAACGAAATTCAAATTCAAATCAATAATCCTGAAATATTCACTAACACAATAGCCGAGTTAGAAAAAAAACAAACTAAATTTTACACTTATCAAAAAAAAGAAAACAAACCGTTTAAAGCCATACTCAAAAACATGCATGCATCGGTCAATATAACAGATCTAAAACATGAAATTGAAACCTTCAATCACAAAGTAATAAGAATTTTTAATATTAAACACAAAATAACAAAACAACCTTTACCAATATTTTTTGTAAAAATAAAAATAAATGAAAACAATAAAGAAATATATAAAATTAACAAACTAATGAACCAAATAATCTATTTTGAAGAATCATATAATAAAAGAGATATTCCCCAATGCATGAGATGTCAATATTATGGCCATACAAAAAATTATTATCATAAAACACCAGTTTGAGTTAAATGCGCAAATAATCATATCTCAACGGAGTGTCTCATTCAACAAAAAATAAAAGAATTTAAATGTGCAAACTGCGGAGAAAATCACGTAGCTAGTTATAAAGGCTGCAGTGCAAGAAAATTACTTCAGCAAAAATTATTTCCAACTCTAAGACCAAAACAAATAACAAGTATAGAAAATATCGTTAGATCAAATGTCTCATATGTGCAGGCCGCAACTGGAAATTTAAATACAGCACAAGAAGAATCAAAACAAATGCAGACACCTCAACCAATAGTAAACAATAACAATGAGAATCAGCTGGTAAATATGATAACTCAACTGATATCTCAATTAATAAACAAGATAGACATAATGCTTTATTTGCTTACCACGCTCATAAATAAGACATAATGAACACAAAAATAAAAATAGTAATTTGGAACGCTAACGGCTTAGCGCAAAGAAATATAGAAATAAAACATTTTCTGATAGAAAACAATATAGACATCATGTTAATATCAGAAACACAGTGTACTTTAAAAACTTTTTAATAATACCGCAAAACATATTATATAATACAAACCATCCTGACGGTAAGGCCCATGGAGGAACGGCAATATTAATAAAAAGCACTATTAAACACCACGAAATAGAACCACATAAATACGACTACCTACAAGCAACAAATGTAGCGATCACAGATCCCAACGGTCAATTTATTCTGTCGGCATTATACTAAACATACAATAAAAACCATACAATACATACATCCAAAACATACAATAAAAAAGAAACAATACAAAAAATATTTTGATAGCCTGGGAAGCCGTTTTCTCGCAGGAGGAAACTATAATGCAAAGCATCCATGGTGGGGATCAAGATCAATAACTCCAAATCAACAAGGAGCAACTTTATATGCAGTAATAAAAAAGGAAAATTTAACGCCAATATCAACAGGCGAACCTACCTACTGGCCTTCAGATATAAATAAACTACCCGATTTAATAGATTTCGCTATTATAAAAGAACTATGTCCTAAGCACCTAACAGCTGAATCGTGTCTTGACCTAACCTCTGATCGTTCCCTAATTATTATAAACCTCAACTCAACAATAAAAATAGACCAAAAACAAAACCTTTTATATAATAAAAAAACAAATTGGTATCTTTGCCGAGCAATAATAAATGATAAAATTATATGTAACATACCACTAAAAACAGAACAAGATATAGATACTGCGATTGAAAATTTAAATAACAACTGTTGTATATTCAATAAATCAATACTCAAGCTTGTAATTTAATTATGATTTATTGTATAATGTAAGAAGAATCACATAACAGAAGGAGAGTTGGTATTCGACTGACTAACGCTACATTCATGATAAACAAGAGAGCGCAACGCTATTCAACTATTTAGAATTAATTAAAGAATCATACATTACATTCCTCCACCTTTAGAAAAAAATATCACTTCAAACTTCATTATAAATCAAAAATTGTTCTAGGTTTAATAAGTCTTGAAGAGCGACGTAAACTAATTAGAACATCAGAATTAACCTTAGAATCATAAACATTTTCATTTTGAACAATAGAATCTACTTTTGGACTATCTGTATTTTTAATAACATTTGATTGAACGTATTTTTTAAAATCATTCTCAAACACATTTACTTTATCTTTATCAATCACATCATTCTGAGAGATAAGAACGGTAGGACTCATGCATTTTTCCGGTGTTCGTAAAGTATCGTATCACGCATTGACAAATTACACGATCGCAATTGATTTACATGACGCTTCCATTCTTGCTGATCATTTGTTGTGACATTGTATGTAATAGGACTTATCTGTTTACTAACTTCAGCTTTTCGCCAATTACCATTTGCATAATCTCTAGCCATTACTACTTTTCCTTCGTCAAAACTCACCTTTCTATTACCTCTAAAAAATTTTTGGCGATCTGCTTGTTTAAGTGCAACACGATTGCCAACATTTTCTTTCAATAAATCCCATCTTGTACGAAATTTTCTTCCCATTTGTAATTCAGCTGGACTTACACCTGTTGTGCAATGAGGAGACGAGCGGTAATGAAATAAATATTTTGCAAGAGCTTCCTTTCTTGTTGAACATTGTCTATTCAGAATTTTAATTTTAGCTTTGCAAGTTTTCACTGCATTTTCAGCAGCTCCGTTACTGGCAGGATGGTAAGGTACACATTTTATGTGTGTAACTCCATTGGCTAACATAAAATCTTCAAATAACTTCGATATAAACGTAGGACCATGGTCTGTAACTAGCTTTTTTGGAATTCCCCAAGTTACAAAATAATCTCTGAAAACATCAATAGTAGTTTCCGCTATAATATTATTCAATTCTCTTATATCAAACCACTTTAAATGACTATGTAAAATTACATTATGCATTTTCCCATCAATTGGTCCACAAAAATCTGCATGTAAACGTTGATTCGGACTTTTTGGCTAACTCCACACATGCAATGACGCTTTCGGTGGATTATCAGCACTTTTAAGACACAACTCACATTGTTTACATTTATTTTCAATCTGACGGTCCATCGACGGCCACCAAACGTATTTGCGAGCCAACATCTTCATGCGTACAACACCCATGTGCGAACTATGAAGCTCATTTAACATTTCTTCTCTGATACTCAAAGGAACACACACACGATAACCCCACATAACACAACCATTTTCCAATGTCAACTCCCTTTCTTTGCTTTTATAAGGTATAATAATCTATCATGTACACTTTTAGGCCAACCATTCAATAAATATTTCTTAACTGAATTCAAAACTAAGTCTTTATCAGTCTCACTTCTAATTGTTTCTAATGAAAATGATCTAACCCCTGCACTAAAATAATTTAAATAACTATATTCATAATTATTGGTACTAATATTATTTTTAATAGGAAATCTTGATAATCAGCACTCTTATTATCAATTCCCTTAATATACCTTAGTTCATAATCATATGCAGCTAAAATAACACTCCATCGTTGTACTTTATTTGAAGCCATTACTGGTAAACCTTTTTTATCTCCAAAAATATAAATAAGTGGCTTATAATCTGTCTCTAAAATAAAATGCCTCCCATACAAATACTGATGAAAAGTTTTTACTCAAAAACCAACGCAAGACCTTCTTTATCAAGCTGCGAATAATTACGTTCTGCTGGTGTATGTGATCTTGATGCAAATGCAAATGGTCTACAGTTACCATCAGGAAAAATATACGACGCTTCCGCTTCAATACCCTCAGGGCCTGCATCAACGGTGATTTTGATAGGTAACCTTGTGTCATAATGTATTAAAACTTGATCGGAACTCAAACTCGCCTTAGCTTTCTCAAAGGCTTCATGACAATCCTGAGTTCATTTCCAACGAAAATCTTATCGCAGTAACCTATATAGTAGGTTAACAATGAATTCATAATTTCTTATAAATTTTGAATGATAATTCATCATACCTAAGAAAACTTGTAATTCTTTGACGTTCTTTGGTATCTCTACTTTTTTGATTGCTACAATTTTCTTTTCTGAAACGTGAATGCCTTCCGCATCAATCGTATAGCCTAAAAAATCAATTTCTGATTTTGCAAAATCACATTTTTTTTCCTGACAGTCAAACCAACATTATTAAAATGTAATAAAACTTCTTTTAATCGCGTGTGATGTTCATGAACATCTTTTCCAGTAATCAAAATATCATCAAAAAATTTCAACACTCCAGGAATATCCTTCAATAATAATTCTTCAATTTCTCCTTGAAAAATTCAAGGTGCCGTAGCCACACCAAAAACGAGTCTTTTTTATCTAATCAGCCCTTTATGCGTAGTAATAGTTGTCAATTTTTGAGATTCATCATCGAGTAAAAATTGTTGATAAGCATTCATTAAATCAAGTCTTGTAAAAATCGTACCTCCTTTAAGCATTGCTAATAAATCTTGTGTTCTTGGAATAGGATGTCTATTTACAATTAAATGTTTATTTAAAGTAATTTTATAGTTCCCACAAATTCTTACTTGACCATTAGATTTCATAATCGGTACCATTGGTGTCGCCCATTCACTCGACTCAACTTTTTCCGCAACATCCAACTTAATTAACCTATCTATTTCCGCTTCAACTTTCTCTCGCAACGCATACGCTACTGGTCTCGGTTTACAAAACTTCGGTGTAACGTTTGGTTTCAATTCTAATTTGAACGTTCTTCTATTATATGTGCCTAATTTATCAGTGAAAACATTTTTAAACTCTTTAACAATTGCTAAATATCTACTCCCACATTCATTGGTTACTTTAATTTCATTCAATTTGCATTCGAAATTTTTAATAATACCTAACGCATCTAACCAATCTCTACCTAAAATCGGTTTCCTATTACCAAGTAAAACGTACAATAATAATTTACAATTTAGATTCGCAAATAACACGTCAACTTTAACTAAACCAATCGGAACAATAGTATCGCCAGAGTAACTTTTGAAAATTCGATTCGATTCATACATTCTTAAACACTTCAATTCCTGTCTACCAAAAAAATAAGTACTCGACATTGCCGTAATAGGTGACCCGGTATCAATTTCAAACATGATTTTAACATTTTCAACAGTTACCTTGATCTTTAGAGGTTTAATTTTTGTCTTATTTTCATCTTCAGATAAGTGATAAAGATTATTAAATTCTTGTTCAAAATTATCTACTTCATCAATACAGTTTTGTTTAGAATTATCTCTATTGAAATTAGTTGTTCTAATCCCACTGCGATTATTATTATTATTAAAATTATAACCTTGAAAATTTACTCGCTCGCTATTACTATTATTTTGACTGTTTGTTTTGAAATTATTCGCATCCCTACTATAAGAACTTGACTGAGACTTCGCCACTTTACACACAATAGTTAAATGACCTACTTCGTGACATACATTGCATTGATAATTGCGATACCTACAATTAGGTTTCTTATGGTTAGGTTTCCCGCAACAATAGCAATTAATGTTACTATTACCCTGTTGATCACTCGTCTTATCATTTTGATTCAAATTCTTGTTCTTCTTATCTGATACATAGTTAACCGCCGTTGAATATGCCATCTCCGTTGATTCTCCCATCCCTTCAGCATCACGTGTCACCGTTTTTGTAGATTGAGCGAACAAAACTGCTGAATCAAACGTCAAGGACTTCTCTTTGAGTAGATGCTTTTTAGTCGATTTGCAAGAAACGCCAAAAACGAACTGGTCTCGCAAATGAGTCTTCAATTCCATACCAAAATTACAATTCATAGAAAGCTTTTTCAAATTAGCAACAAATGATTTAATGTCTTCGCCCTCTTATTGTCGACATTTTTTGAATGTATAACGTTCGCTTACCTCACTAGGCTCCGCTTTGAGATGTTCTTTCAAAATGTCAGTAAGCACTGCATTTTATCAGGGATTTGCAGGTTTACCAGGCGTACATAACTCTCTTAATAAAGCATAACCTTTGTTACCTAAAAACGTAATCAATAACGGCACCTTCTTTTCCTCTTCAACATCATTAGCCGTGAAAAACTGTTCCAATCTCTCTTGCCATAACTCCCAATCTTCCGACAAATCATACTCCACAATCGAACCGATATAGCCCTTACCAGCCATTGCTCCTTCGACCTCTTCTTTGTTCACGAAATCATCAATGAAAGTACTATTTTCTCCGTCTGAATCATCTGTGACGGCGGACCATTTTTTTCTTAAAATTTTAATATTTCTGTATAGCATTTAAGACAAGCGGAGAAACGAGAACAGTCGCTCAAAAGCGAGGGGGACCGAAACAAGTTATTAGAATTTTTCCCCGAAAAACAATAAAACCGCGACTGCATCCGAGCCAGCGTTCTCAAACGCATGCAAGGAGCGTGTAGCCCCTTGTATGTGTTTAACACGTGTCAACATGTCGATGAGAGGAGAGAGTCATAAAACTGCGACTAACATCCTGTAAGCCACTTTTCCAACGGATTTTTCCTCCTTTTAGAATGCTCAAAAATTTACCATTGAAATGAAATAAAATTAAAATTATCTAAATACAATTGTTTCATTATCGCAATACATCCCGGATAATTATGACTTCTCAAACCTCTCATCGAGTTCTCATTTCAAAGCTAGGATTAGTTAGAAAATAAGAAAAACAGAGAAAAATCCAAGAAAAAAATTATTATATACGCGCACTATATTGTTAAACGGATTTTTATTGTAAGAAATTAGGAGATAATCGCCTTGTTAAGTTACATAAGTTTTGTATTAATACTCCGATTAAAACTGAAATAGAATTGTATGATTAGTGAAAAATTTAATACAATATTGTTCCTAGCACTAAGTAGCTTGTAAGTTATCGAGTTCACAAAAAAGAATAATTTTTAAGTTATTGTAAATCCGCTTATTGGATAAATCTTAGTTGAGAATGGTACTCGAGGAGCCATCTCACGAGCCAAGGCCTGTACCTCTGCGTTCGCTCCTCCGATTTTCTCCACGCCCCCGCTCCAATTAGGGCCCGAAAAATCAGTGAAGAAAATGAGAAGAGACAAATGGGCCAATGAAAGCATCATCGCTTACTCCACTCCTCCCAAAGCTAAGACGCTAAGAGAGGGACTTACCACCCAGCCACCCCCAGTGTATAAAAAGAGATGTACGAGCTTCGAGCGACAGTCGTGGAAAAAAAATCAAGAGAAGAAAATTCAACATTGTGCTATCAGTGAAGGAGCAGAGAGCCAAGCAGCCAAATAACAGAATAAATCTGGAATTGAACAAGGAGAAGACATCCAACACCAAACTCAACAAAACTTCTTAATAAAAAAAAGACAGTAAGCGAATAAGAAAAATCCTTTATTTCTATACTTTCCTCTCTCTTTTCTCTAGCGAAGTAATAGCTCGTGTTTCCCCCTTTTTTTTATTAGCTGGAGACTACTTTTGATAGGCTCCAGGTAATAATATTATTAGAAAATCCGGGTACTACTATTGATAGGACCCGTGGTGCTTCTAGCTCAAAGATTACGACTTTCGATCGGAATCTGAGAGCGGAAGTATAGACTCTGTGGCACTTTCCCCCTCGATTTAGACAATTTCTTGACGAGTGATCCACGCCAGTTTAGGCGAGAAATCGCAGTTCTGGCGACAACGAATCCTGAGACTGCGCTAAGCCTCAGCCGCACCTGAGCTGTGTCGTTGCCACGACACACATCAGTACCTCCAGCATCTTCTACATTTCCCATCAATTCATAAGTTCATCCTCGTCGCCAATTGTTGTATATTCAATAAATCAATACTCAAGCTTGTAATTTAATTATGATTTATTGTATAATGTAAGAAGAATCACATAACAGAAGGAGAGTTGGTATTCGACTGACTAACGCTACATTCATGATAAACAAGAGAGCGCAACGCTATTCAACTATTTAGAATTAATTAAAGAATCATACATTACAACAACATCTATTCAAATATTAAAAATGCAACCCCTACGTACTCGATAAAACAAAATAAAAAACAAATCAATTCTAAAGTAGTAATAGATAAAATAAGAGAAAAAAGAAAGTTGAGAAAAATTTGGCAACAGACTTGATTATCAACAGATAAATAAAACATAATAAGTCTATTAAAGAACTTAAAAAACTTCTTTAAAAAACTTAACTGCAACTGAGGCTACTGATTATTCGCTCTAGAATGCCACTAAAAAATTATCATCTAATCCAATGCTTTTTTTCCTATTGCCATTCACTTTATCCCAGAATTTTCTTCTCGTCTTATCTTTTCTTATTTCTTCTGCCACTCTTTTCCCCTCATCTTCTTTTACTTTTCTTATTTCCTCTCTGTATTCTCTCTTTGCTTCTAGGTATTTGCCTCTGTCTTCTTCCCCTTTTCTTACCTTATTTAACTCTGCCATCACCGTAGCCCTTTTTATCTTACATTCTTCTCTCCACTAGCTTTTTTTCGATCCTTTCTTTTCTCTTATCTTCTTTTTTATAACTACGTTCTTCACTCTATTTTTTATCTCTTTCCATTTTTCTGTTCCTTCTATTGCGTCTATCCATCTCTGATACTCCCTTATACCTTCTTCGCTCCAGTCGTCTATTATTCTTTCTTCCTCTTCTTTTCTTTTTTCCGCTATTTTGTCTTCCAATTCCACCTCTATTGGTAAGTGGTCCGACTTTACCCTCTCTTTTATTTAAACCCTTTTTATTGCCTCATCACCTTCCTCGTTACCTACTACATAATCTATCGTTGACATTCCTTCCGCTCCTATATACGTTATTTCTCCCTCTTCATCTCCTTCTTTTCTCCCATTCGTTATCACTAAGCCCCTTTCTCCTAGCCATTTTATCATTTCTTCTCCCTCTGCGTTTAACACTTTATCCTTGGCCTTTATTTCTTCTAGGTTTTCTTCTGTCTCCCATTCTCTCCCTTCATTTCCTATTCTTGCGTTGAAGTCTCCTTCTATAATTATTGTTTTTGTTTTTCCTCTGTTCTCCTGTATCTCTTTGCTTAGGTATTCATAGTTTTCCTTCTTCTCGTGTTGCGTATACGAGGTGTGTTCAAAAAGTAACGAGAATTTTTTAATTTCGCGGGTTTGGAGAGTCCGCTTGTATAAAATTTTTTTTTATTATGTTGGTACACATGCCCCTGAAGTACGATAAAATTTTCAGCAATATTCATTGCTTACTTTTTAAGTGGCAGCCGCTAACGTTAGACGTGTTTTTCGAGCTCGGCGATTTTCGTTTTTTAAAAGAAATGAATCAAAGAATTTGTGTTAAATTTTGCGTAAAAAATGAAATAAAGTGTAACAAAGTGTGTGAAATGTAACAAAAAGCCTATGGTGGGTCTGCTTTGAAAGAAACACGTGTTTACGAGTGGTATAAGCGTTTCCAAGATGGCCGCGAAGACGATGAAGATGACGAACGACCCGGACGCCCAAGCACATCAACAACCGATGAAAACGTGAAAAAAGTGAAAGAAATGGTTATGAACGATCGCCGAATCACAATCAGAGAAGTCGCTGATGATGTTGGCATATCAGTTGGCTCATGCCATCAAATTTTTTCGAATGTTTTGGGTATGAAACGTGTGGCAGCAAAATTCGTTCCAAAATTGTTGAATTTCGAACAAAAACAGCGGCGAATGGAAGTTGCTCAGGAGTCGCTAAATGAAGTCAATAACGATGCAGAACTACTAAAACGTGTTATAACAGGTGACGAAACATGGGTTTACGGATATGATGTCGAAACTAAGGCTCAATCGTCCCAGTGGAGGCATTCTGGATCGCTAAGACCGAAAAAGGCTCGACAAGTACGGTCGAATGTGAAGGTTATGCTCACTGTGTTCTTCGATTTTAATGGCATAGTGCATTATGAATTCTTGCCACAAGGTCAAACAATCAATAAGCAGTACTACCTACAAGTTCAACGTCGTTTGCGTGAAGCAATCCGAAAAAAACGCCCGGATTTGTGGCAAAACAATTCATGGCTTTTGCACCACGATAATGCGCCTGCTCACACTTCATTGCTTGTTCGTGAATTTTTGGCCAAAAACGAAACTGTAACAATGCCTCAGCCTCCATATTCGCCAGATATGGCTCCATGTGACTTTTTTCTATTTCCAAAAATAAAGAGAACATTAAAAGGCCGTCGTTTTACAAGCATAGATGACATTAAAAGCGAATCGCTGAAAGAGCTAAAAGCTATTACAAAGATCGAGTTTCAAAAGTGTTTCGAGGATTGGAAAAAGCGTTGGCATAAGTGTATTGTATCCGAAGGGGACTATTTTGAAGGCGACAACATTAATGTAGATGAATAAATAAATATTTTTTTCATAAAACGAAAATTCTCGTTATTTTTTAAACACACCTCGTACACCGATGCTATCATGTATTTCCTCCCTCCGATCTTTATTTCTCCTACTATTATCTCACTTGTCCTTTCTCTCTTCCATTCAACCTTACTCATCCCTTTCCTCTCTTTTACCGCCATTATTCCTCCTCCTATTTCTCTTCCCCTTCTTCCTTCCCTTCTTGAGTCTCTCCACTCTATGTTATACCTTTTAAGTTGCTTCTCCACCCCAGTTTTTGCCCCTTACCTCTTCACCCAGGTTTCGGTTAGCCCTATTATATCAAATTCCCTAACATATTCCCAGTCGTCTTCCTCAATGCTCCTAATCCCCGCCACGTTCTAGAATAGTATCTTTACTGCCTCTTTTCCCTCTTTCTCCCCTTCCACTTCTCTCTCTCTTTTTTCCGTATTGTTTTCGAAACCCTTCCGCCCTTTTTCCTACCATTTTTCCCTCTTTCTCGCTCCACCACCATTCTTCTTCCTCTGCCTTCACCTCGTTATGCCACATCTTTACCTCTTTACCTTTACTTTTTATTTCTCTCGCTTTCCTTCTTACTTCCTCTCTTATCTTCCTCTGCTTCCACGTCCAGTTTTGATCTATGTATATCTTTTTCTGTCCCAGCTTCTTTTTCTTCTTCATAATTCCTTCTTTTTGTTCCCATGAAGCGCATCTAATTTGCCACATATTTTTTCCTCTTTCTCTCCGATCATCCCTCCCCGCTGTCCCTCATATTCTTATCAGATTCATTATCTGTCCTTTCATTTCTAGTTTCTCCCTTAACCAGTCCTCTGCCTCTCCCTTCTTTTCCCATCTGAACTCACCCTCTAAGTCTGTCACTATTATATTGTTTACCCTATTTTCTCTATCCAATTTTTCTCTCATATACTCTATTTCTTCCATCTTGCCTACTTTTGTTCCTCTTTGCTTCTTGTTTCCTCCTTCTATACTTTCTTTTAATTTCACGCACTCCTCTTCTAACTGATTCATCCTCTCTCCCTATTTTTCCTGCAGTTTCTTTTCTCTACTTTCTGCTTTTTCCCTTTCTTCTTTCGTCTCTTCCTTTCTTTCTTCCCTCTCTCTCTTGTTCTCTCCTAACTTTTCCTATTTCTTTCTCCCATCTTTCTTCTCTTCTTTTCTCCTCTGCCTCCATTCTTTCCATTTTTCCCATTATTTCTTTAAACATTTCTGTCCATTCTTTCCTTTCATCCTCCCATGCCTCTCTTAAATCTCTTATATCTGCCCGTATCTTTTCCATTATATCTTCTGCACCACTACTTTTTCCCACTTCTCTTATCGTGTTGTCCAATCCTTCTCCCCCCTCCCCTTCCATCTCGCTCCCCTCGCTTTCACTCTTGCATCTCTTTGCCTCTCTCATTTCTCCTCAATTATTCTCCCTTAGCCCCTCTCCTCTCTCTCTCCCCCTCACCATCTTTACTCTTTTCTTCTTTTCCTCCTCTGGGCCTTTCTTATCCATCCTTCCACCTTTATCTCTTAATTTTTCTGTTGTCACAAATCTTTCCATCATATCCCGTACGCTTTAATTCGACTCTCTATATCTACTTGTGATCCCACCTTTATTCCCTGTCTTACCTTTTCTGTCTCCGCCTTTACTTCTTACCGCCCCTCCTCTCTACCTACCTTTCCCGCTTCCTGATTTTCTCTCTTAACTTTTCTTTTTTCTTTATTCCTCTCTCTCTGCTTTTTCCTGCTCTTCTCCAAGCCTCTCTCTCTCTTCTTCACTCCTCCTCCGCCTCCACGCTCTTTTCACCTCTATTTCTCTCCTCAAACACTTTTCCTCTTTAACTTTCTCACCAAAACTCGCACTCACAGCCAAGACACGTCCACACTCTTCCACCGGCCTTCCTTCTCTCCTCACTTTACGTTCGTTTATATAAGAAACTGTAGTAATATTACACTCTAGACGTAAAGCTTTCACTCTGAGTATAGTTACAGGTAAATCAGAGCTATGAGTTTCATTTGCAGATAGTTCTCATCTAGTAAAGCCTAAAATTGAACCAATAGAATCTTCTAGTTTGAAATTTATTTTATGACTACACTGAATAACACTACGTAGAGTATTATTATTTGGTTTTAAATTAATTTATATTTGATTGAACGTTAGCGTTCCTTGTAGAAAACTCTCAATATCTTCTATCTCATAGTTACCTGTCGGTAAAACGATTTCGTGTTCACCAACGTAAAATTTATGATTGCCTACGTCAATATTTGGTTTTGAATTAAATGTGAATAGTTCCACTAAGCCTAGTACATATTTTTTATTAGGTGACAGCTCTATTGGTGGAAAATAATTTGCTTTAAGAACTGATGAATTTCCTGACAAACTCTATATTAGTATGTTCTCCATCAGAGTTTTTTATGAAATAACTGTTTTCCCATTCATTATATCTATTTATAGTTTATTCGAAAGAAATTTTAGAGAAAGATGTCCATACCATAGTTGTAGGTATTGAAATCTTGATATCTCACATAGTAATATTTGACTTTTCTGACTTTTAGATAGAGTAATAAATCTATAGGTGGTTGAAGATTGTCGAAACTATCAAAGTATATAACTTCATTACCTTGCTTTTTACGAAGTGTGTTCAAAAAGTAAGGTGAATTTTTAAATTGGACAGGCTACGTAGACTTGATCATGAATATTTTTTTATTATGTTGGTATACATGTCCCTCACATATGCTCACAGTTTCAGCAAGTTTGTATGTTTACTTTTTATTTGCGAGACAGAAACGTTAGACGTATTTTTTGTGCGCGGCAATTTTCTGCTGTCGAAAACAATGGATCAAAGAGTTTGCATAAAAGTTTGTGTATGAAGTGCTCCAAAACACTTGAAATGTTGACAGTGGCATACGTTGAGTCTACTTTAAGTAAAAAAAATGGTTACAAGTGGCATAAGCTCTTTCAAGATGGCCGAGAAGACACCGACGACGAACCTCGCTCTGAACGCCCTAGCACTTTAATAACTGATGAAAGTATTGAAGAAGTGAAACAAATGTGTTAAAAAATCGTCGAATCGCTATTAGAGAAGTGGCTGAACACGTCGGCATCTCCGTTGGCTCGTGCCATGCAATTTTTTCCGAAGTTTTGGCATGAAACGTATAGCAGCAAAATTTGTTCCGAAACTGCTTAATTTTGAACAAAAGGACCGTCGAAGGAGCATCGCTCAAGAGCAGTTAAACGACGTCAATGACGATTCTGATATGCTCAAAAGAGTCATAACTGATGACGAATCATGGGTTTACGGTTATGACGTCGAAACTAAAGCCCAATCGTCTCAATGAAAGAGTCTAGAAGAGCCAAGACCGAAAAAAGCACGTCAAGTTCGATCAAATGTCAAGGTTTTGGTCACTGCTTTCTTTGATTATAGTGGCGTAGTACATCAAGAATTCTTACCACAAGGTTACACGGTAAATATAAAATATTACCTTGAAGTGATGCGTCGGTTGCGAGAAACAATACGAAAAAAACTTCCGGAATTGGGGGAAGACAATTCATAGATTTTGTATCACGATCATGCACCTGCTCAGTCATCGTTGCATGTGTCGAACTTTTTAGCCAAAAACAAAACCACAATCATGTCTCAGGCATCTATCTTATTCACCGGATATGGTGGCCCCTGCGACTTTTTTCTGTTCCTAAAACTCAAGAAACCCATGAAAGGAGGGAGGTTTGGAACGATTGAGGAGGTAAAGAAAAAATCGCTGTTAGAACTCAAGGCTATACCAGAAAGTGCTTACCAGAAGTGCTTCAAGGATTAGAAAAAACGTTGGTACAAGTGTATTATATCTGAAGGGGATTACTTTGAAGGGGACAACATAAATATTGACGAATAAATAATTATTTTTTCATAAAATTAAAAATTCATCTTACTTTTTGAATACACCTAGTATATGCTACCTAGTGCGTACCTGGTCCATTTTTGTCGTCTAAATTGATAACATTCTGATTTTGGATAGTGAGGTTCGTCAGATGATAAATCGTTACGAATAAAAATACTTCGAAAATTTGCAATTTTTAGTATTTTAGCATATTTTTTTATATCTAAATCAGTCAGAGCACGTTTAGGCAAAACTATTTCAAAGTTTTTTTTTCTCAAACCTTGTCCGCTCATATACGATCTAAGGTGAAGACCATAACCTTTACTATGAGGCTTCAGATAAAGACCTTTACTTAAAGCAATAGCTTCCATAGTTTTGTTATGCCTCTGAGCCTCTTTCAGCTCATTTTAAGCAGCTTTAGCGCTGTTCATAGCTTTCACTATTGAAGCAGTTTAAAGCAGCAAATAATGAAATTAAAAAAAGAAAGCGCTCCACCAACTTTATCGAGAATAGGTAAAATACGTTGTATATTTATTTTACTTCTACAGCCCACCTTTTTCACAGCTTCTTTGACTCTTTTTATAGCCAAACGAATAATTACAAGAGATCAATTATTAGACACATTACTTTTCGATGCCGCCTTAATAATTTTATTCAATGTAACTAACGGCTTTTTGATTTTTCTACATTTCTTTCGTGCTTAACGTTTTTTGAATCGTCTACTTCGTTTCTTTCTACCTTTCTTCTTATCAACACCCATACCGAGCTTACCTTTAACTTTCATAATATTAGCTATGGTGAAGGCAACTGCTTTTTCACCAAAACTGCTATCTTTAGCTAGCACTCTTTCCGTAGCTTTTTCAGCCAGCATTTCGTCAGCTTTATTTCTTGTCACAATATCCTCTTGCTTTTGAGAATAAGTAATATCGTGTTCTTTACAAGCAGCATCTAGTGGAATTTTACCAGGATCTCCACGCGCCAATCGTTTGTTAAATTTTGTACCAGGACCACAATACTGATATCTAGGTAAGTGAGCTTCAATAGGCAAGTTATTTATAATCTTGTTCACTAGACCACCACCAGTCTTTCTTTTACAGTACGTAATCATACTTCTTCGAAAGACAACATGTTAATGAAATAAAAGGTATATAAGCAGTCTTTTTATACCCGACAAACTCATTCATTTAGTTATCGGTGATGAGTAAACAACATGGATTTCAAAGAACAGCCTCTTAAGCTTCAAGTCGGTAATTTCGATGGAGTGGTAGAGACCAAATATAAGAAAAAAGACATGGTGAACTATTGCCTAACAGTATACGTGCCGTTTTCTGCGGACCTAGTAACTGTGGAAAAACTAATTGTTTATTAACATTAATCACATATCCTAATGGTCTTAGATTTGAAAACGTATATGTCTATTCAAAATCCCTTAATCAGCCCAAGTGTAAATTTTTGAAAGATTTATTAGAGTCTATTAATGATATAGAGTATCATGCTTTCAACGAGCATGATACAGTTGTTCCGCCAGATAAAACACGACCAAATTCTGTCATGATTTTTAATGATATAGCCACTGAGAAGCAAGATAACGTAAGAGCATTCTTCTGTATGGGAAGACATAAAAATGTAGATAGTTTCTATCTCTGTCAATCGTACACTCGCATTACAAAGCATCTCATTCGAGATAATGCAAATTTAATAGTTTCGTTTCGACTAGATGACGTGAATATTAAACACATTTATGTGAATATTAAACACACTCGTTACAAAGATCATGTTAACTCGGATATGTCTTTTGAGAAATTTAAAGCAATTTGTTCAAAATGTTGGAGAGATGATAATTGTTACGTGACGGAAAATTTTATTTTTTTTTGTTATAATATATCTAATTATGATTTCGCGACAGCATGCTGCTTTTAGCGTATTAGGTTAGGAAACATGAAGCGATTATAAACGCGTAAATCAGAGAGAGACAGAGTGTAAGGAATGAGAGAGGGAAACGAAAATTCACAGACGAATTGTGAGAGTGAGATCCGGCAGTTAGGAGTGAGCGCCCAACTAAGAAGGCTGCAATTTTTCCTACAATACTATAATTAAATTTTTCAGAGTTAATTGAGTTTATGAGAGAGTCTGAGTTTATTGAAGTTTAAATTTATGAGTTTGAGTTTGTTGAGTTTATTAAAATCTGAGTTTATTGGAGTTTAAATTTATCAAAGTTTGAGTTTATTAGAATATTAAAAAAAGTGTCGAGTGCGATCATTCAGATATCTTATCTGCTGCTGCAACATTGAATAAAAATATATATATTCGAGGGGGGGGGGGGGGAGCGTCAATAAGCCTTTACAAAAAGAAGGAAAAAAAGTTATGCGTATGTAATTTTTTTTTGTTTTTCAACATAATCTCCTTGAAGGTCGATATACATTTTATTGAACGGCCTTCCAGTTTTTTTAAGCCATCAGAAAAATATGATTCCTGAAAACCGTCAAAATAGGCATGTGTTTCGCGATGACTTCCTGATTCGAAGTGAATCTTTGTCCGGTAAGCTATTTTTTGAGGTCAGGAAATAAGAAAAAGTCACTGGGATCCAAATCAGGCGAATATGGTGGATGGTCAATTAATTCGAACTTTAAATCGTTAAATTTTGCCATCGAAACTGCACAACTGAACTCGAGAATTGTCTTGAAGAAAGAGGCATCTTTTTTTGTTCGAGTGAGGACGTTTTTCTCTGATTTTTTCTTTCAGCTAACCTAATAATGATGCATAATATTGTCCATTGATCGTCTGAATTTTACTATTTTTCTGTTTTAATGGAATTTTTGAGTCGATTCGAGCCGCTATTTTAGATTTTCCATCTCTGAAAATAATTTCTGATATTTATTTTTTATTATCTTCTTTAATTTTCCACGTTATTCTGCTTAGACATAGATATGATTATCTCGTGTGTACACACACACGCACGCATACACATACATACAGACATAATAATAAAATTAGAAACATTCATTATATTCAGTTATTTTATGTAATTTCATTATCTAGACAATAAAAAAAATTTAATATTGTTACGTGGCGGACTATTCTTTTTTTTTGTACAACGGTATGCTTGATTAGACTCTCGCTTGCGAGAGTCCCACACATACACTCGTGTGCGCGTCTTGGCGGGAGTGAGTGGAAGACGCTGAGCACAACTGCTGAGGTATGCTGTGACAGCATGCTGCACTCAGTTTCATAAAATTAGAATACTTATTAATTAATCCACCGTCATTATCATTAGTATTAATATTATTTTCTCATATATCATATATTATTTTAGCTTAACTTTGTATAATATTTAGAATACTTAATTATAATTGCGAGTAAATAAAAATGTTTTTCCTGTGCTGTATGAAACGTGATACGGGTGAATAAGGCGCTCATTTCTAAGCAGACTAAAGCCATGCCGGAGACGTGGAAAATTAATTTTTTTTATTATTATTACTTATTTTATTATTATTACTTTTTTATTGTTATTACTTTTTTTTATTATTATTACTTACATGATCGGGCGCTTAGGAATTCGGCGGAGTTTTTTTTGCAACAGTCGCGTAAGCGTAATTAGAGCTTTCATTTCTAAGACCGGGTGCATCTTTCTTCCGTTCCCACGTTTTCTGCTTACGTGGTGTTGGCAATATGATTCTTTTGTTTAGAAATATTTGAAATTCGAAACGCGGCTTAGAAAAATTTCTTTTTGAGTATTATTTTACGTATGATCGTTTGAAATTTGATTGCGCGTTTGCGAAATATTTCCTTTTGTGAAATAGTCGAATTTACTTTTTTTTTATTCTGTTATAATAAAGGATTAATACTTGGCATTATACTGTACAATCCTGTTATTAAAATTTCCCTTAAATATTTTTATTTTTATTATTTTTATTATTAAACGATAGGTATATATCATTAAAAATAATTGGTATTTTGTTAATAATTATTATTAAAGAAATTGAGCTTAATAAATTAAAATCTGATTAGGAATTATTATTTATATTTTCTTTATTTATATTGACAGCGGAAAATTTCGGTATTGTCGTGCTTATTTATTTATTATCTAAGAAAAAGGGGAACCCTGGGCCATATATAATCCGTAAACCGCTGCAAGGAAAATTTAGTGAGACCTTATATGAAAAAGAAAGCGAGATACAAGCATACCCAGGACTATAAGCGAAATGGTATTGGCCACCTTACAGTTATTGACTAGTATGTCGGCCAGCTTCACCCTACAAAATATAGTGCAAGGAATTACAGAATTTGATGGAAAAAATTTCCCGCTTAAGGACTTCATCCAGGATATTCGTAACGGAAGAGCATTGATATCAGACGAACAGGAAAAAAATTTTGTTCGGTTAATAATTGCTAAATTACGAGGACCCGCACGCGACTGCATTTATGGAAAATTTATTAAGGTAGTCAATGATTTAATCAAGATTTTGAATGAGTGGTTCGCACCCTGCAAGGAATTTGCGTACTATGATTCTTAAATTCATAGTATACGCATGAAGCAAGGGGACTCGGTGGATGATTTCCATGACAAGATCAACATTCTGCTAAACTGTGCGGAGAATGCACTGAAGGAAGAGTTCGGAGAAAACCTCACCAAGGCAATGATGACTCCGATGCGGAATTCAACCATAACGACCTTTATAGACAGACTGCTAAAGAAAATTGGAGATCTAGTAGATATTAAGCAGCCCGAAACCCTGGGGGATGACTATAAAGAAGTACTACTTATAGAAACTAGAAATAAATCGAGAGCACGGCATGGCGAGTCAAACCCTAATAAATGGACAAGTTTACTGCGCAGTCTTAATTTGAATTTCGTACAAGACCGACAAAACGATCAAGAAGAACAATACGAAGATAAGTGGGATGAATTACCCGTGGGAATTCAACAGTTGTTCGTACAGCAAAATAATGGACAATAAACATACATAAATAATCAGAATTACCAAGAACAACAGCAGAATCAACCTCAAGGGCAAAGGCAGTATCAGAATAGGAACTGAAAACCTCGCTATAGGAATTATCAGGACAATGGACCGCATGCAGGGCGTTTATATAACCCTCATATGGACTCATATCACCACCTCTTCGGAAAGCGCTGTGGAACAATAGCGTATGACCAGCAGCAAAAAGGCGAGCTTAGACCCAATCCAAGATACCATAACAGGGTAATACAGGTAAATTAAATTCAGATGGGACTCGCCCAGCAATAACTGGAGTGGGCCCTTGTCAGATATGCCACCAGAATCAGGACAAGACCCAACATCAGCAACAGTATGCGAAGACGATGTTGGCAGAAATTCAAGAAATACCGACCACCGAGAAACCGGGAGTACCTCCGGCAAAAGTGATGACGATATTAAGGAGCCCGCAAGCCCTATTGAACCAGTCATCGCAATTGCCTTGAATTGGGGATTTGGTGCAGGAAATCATCAAATCTATGCGCCAACGAGAGTAAGGTTTCGTATACTAGAGACCAGCAAAAAATGGACCGTGTTTATGGTTGATAACGGATCAACTATGAACTTAATTAAGTTTAGTGCACTAAATTGGACTACGAGGTTTGATCCGAGGGAGGTTACTACCTTGAATAGTATTACGACACACATCGTTCCAACCATAGATACGACGATATTGACCATAAATGGAAAGATTGCGAAATTTCACATAGTATGAATAATTTTCCTATCGAAGAGGATGGAATGTTAGGCAGAGATTACCTAATTGATACCAACGCTGTAATTTCATATTATCATAGAAGCCTATTGGTAAATAGCGATGTAATGAACCCGGTACCATTTTTACCGAATGATGTCCCCATTGACCGATTACAAG